CCCCGCGCGTCACTCCACACATACACTGCATATTGTACTTTTAAATCGCACGAGATTAGACTATGATACTATACGCCGGGGGAGTCGTAAACGAGAGGTCAGAACCCTTTCTTTCTCTCCCATAACTTGGGCTCCAGTGGAAGGAGTGCAGCAGCAACTCGTCTTCCTTCTTCTGCCAGGAGGTTGTACGTCGATGATGCATTTTTCTGCGGTCTGGGTCAGTACAGGGGCAGCGCAGGAACTGGCAACGAATGGCTCACGGTATCCATTACATCCAGCTGTATGCCCAGTCCCGTTATGAATGACCTTACCTTGGGTGGGACGAATTCTACCCGTGCACCCGTGCCAAATACCAGAATTTCTGTGCACATTTGAGTGACCGACGACCATGCAACTTCGAGTACACACCAGGCTTCGGTACGACAACCTCGAATATAGACCAGTGCTCGTTCGTCCAGCCTTCCCACTTCTCCATGCCCGACCCTTTCCCTGAACGCGGCTGCGCTGTACTCACAACAGGATTGAAGCCGCCGTTCGGAACGTCCCATAGAAACACCTTTCCATCCAAGAATATGACAGGTCCGCTCAAGACGAGTCCGTCAGCGAGTTTGATGCCTGTTTTTGAGACGGAGAGGACCTGCACCGGCGGGGGTATGTCGGAGGCGAGGATGTTGGTCAACGTCGTCGGGCGGTCAGCCATACGAGTTGGGGACACATGTATGTTGCGTAGCCCGACGGCTGTTGGTCCAAACCTTTGGCATGTCCGGGGTTGTCGAAGTATGCTGAGTATTTGCCGTGGAGAGGAACGGATCGAGGCCATGTCCGATACTTGTAGCAAGTCGCAGTCAACTTGATGAGAGAGAGGTCATGGACATCCACGTCATTCAGCTACCACAACATACTTCCAGAGCAACAAGTAATAAAGAACTCGATTCGACAACGGCAACACGCCCTAATGCATAACCACGTTCTGATGATGACCTTGAAACTGGATGAAGAGGTCTACAGGTATTCTTGTAAGTGGCTAGTCGTTGTGGGGTATCACAGTTTCATAGGAACATGGTCGCCTGTGACCTGAAACTCTCAACCGCGCTTGGTCCTTTTCCATCGTTCCTACCCCCTACATCAGCAGAGCTTGCGGACCCACCATGTCGGTGCAGAACTAGAGATCCTGACGGCCCAAGATATACAAGACGGTCAATGTAAAGACGGAGGAAAGACCTCTCTGAAGTCATCAGTCGTGTGTCGTCTCGTTTGCATGCACCCATCTACTCGAAATCTGATATAGTATCACGATGAAGACATTGCAAGTATCTCCCAAGTTGACGACTGCCAATCAAGCCCAGATCTTGTTAGTTATGACCCATCCTGCGACCAGTGGCTCCTAATACGTCCGCCCGGTGGCTGTGCGGATCATGGACTTCCTGATTTCTCGAAGACCAAAAACAGCAAGCAAGGTTTATTTCCCCTAGCCACTGTCTACAAAATGGGTTTCTCCTCAGATATGTCCTATAATCCCTCTTGACTCTGGACGAAGATGATCACCCTCGTTGATCTCAAGAAACTGTTCGACATCTCCAACAATGCACGCATGCGTCTTTGTGGTATGTCTTCTTATTATCCTCGACTGTGCTGCGGCCCTCACAGTCTCCCTCTAGACTATGTTGTAGATTGCGTAGCTGATGCAGTCGAATTCGCAAGAGAGAATCGATACTCACTACCTTGCTGCTGCTCTCCATCCCGCCAACCTGAGTATGCCCTTCTGCGGAAGTTCGTTGACCGGCTCATCAGACTGTCACGTCCTTCCATTCATGCCGTTGTAATTGCTCTCATTTACATGGACCGCTTGAAATCCACGGGATTCCTCGTCGCAGATGGCGTAACCTGTGAACGCCTGGTTTTAGGGACCCTTTTGCTGGCAATCAAGGTGTGCAGTATGGCCGGTCCTACTTCTGGTCAACCGTGACTGACAACTTCATTTTAATAGTACTTGAGCGATTTTCCGATCAGAAAAGGGAGACTGGGTTATTGCTGGTCTGCATTTCAGCCGAAAGGAGATTACCCGGCTGGAAATCAATTTCTTAGCGCCTTGGACTACAAGTTACAAGTCTCGGACGATAAAATGCGAAACCATCAGCGATCGATTTGCGAGACTGTGGCTTCTCTCCACATACCGCGGACATGTCCGTACCATGGCTGTCCACGCCCAATGATCACGCACGATTATCCCCCACATCACTACGTGCCATACTCCGTAGCTTGCAAGCGTCAACTGGAATTAGACAGTCACGAGGCACTCGGCAACACTCTTGACGCAACCACTTCTGCATAGGCAGTTGGTTTGATGGCCACACGGACTGAGTACCTCCGGGCGCACTCCTACCTACTCTTCCAAGGTGATGACCTGCCCACTCTTACCCTACGGCCCTTGAGGCACGCATATGTGTACTTACGAGGCACCTGGACCCCAATGCAAGCACGCATTTACGCGACGTACTTGTAAGACTTACTACGTATCTTTATCATACGTCTAGCTTGCTCGAATCCATTCACATACAAATAGTTTTTCGTGATTCAATTACCGGAAATCATAATGAGTAAATTATACGTCGAAGACTCGGCCGTTTGTTACTTGCGGTCTCTCTGCTGAGCACCTCGTGGGTTCACGACCCGACCAGCGGCTGGACTGACTATTCTCACTTCAGTGCCATGGGCACGTTCTTCTCTCATATGAGCATGATAAGGAATGATCTATACCAAGATTTGTGGCGATGTAGGATCTCACAGGCAAATCCGCTCAAGGAAGGGCACTGGTACTACGAGCCGGTTTGAGGTGATACGCTTCCAAGTGGGGGTGTGGTATTTGATCGGAACCACGCGATTTTAGCATCAAGCTAGCTCAGCAGAAACGTCACCGGGAAAGGTATGAGTGTCACGGAGACTGTGTGTCATTCGACACTTGCATCGGTATTGCCTCACGACTAGGACTTTCAAAGCGGAGACTCGACCTATCCGGATGGATAGCCTGTGCGTGGCTCACGGGAACATCCAGCGTTAGGGCTTGTGGGAAGAATTCTTCCAGGACAGGCTTAATGAAATGACCGAAGGTTGTACTGGATGCTCTCGTGGTCCAGGCTTTGGGGTATTTACTCAGCAGGTCTTCTTCAGTTTACCTTGACTGAACAGTGACAGAGGTCACGCTGGCTTACAGCAACGTCAGTAATGTGATTCTACAAAGGATGTGGTCAGGCAACCCCCATCGCTCTTATGAGCTTATGTTAGGCTGTCCTTTCGACGAATTATCTGACAGTACCGGCGTGCACAGTCCAATCAACGAGCGGGAACCTGCGGTTGGCCGGCTGTTCGACGTGGATATACGGCTTGCTACGGGGTTCTAATAACCTCTATACCGAAACTATAGTCCTCCATGCCACATGGACCTCGTCCGTCCGGAACCTTGGAACATTTCAAGAGGCACATTCGTGGAAAACACAAAAGATAATCACTTACCGTTGCGTGCAAGTGCTTTTCTCCAAAGGCGTATGATACCCCGTCCGATAGCTAAGGAGTCCGGCATGCGCAATCATAATCCCATTGTCAATGCAGAATCTGAGTTTCATGCGCGTTCAGAAACTTCAGCTAACTGGACATCCCTTTATCTCACCGTTCATCAGTCGCAAAAACTTGTCCCCCGCGCTCCTGGGCCATGATGCCCATCATCTCCTGCAACCTCTCGTTGCCTTCATCAATAGTGGTGAGCATTCAAGAGCTCCGAGAGTACGTAAAAAAGACATACAACCCACACCACCGACAATAAGGACTTCTGTACTTCCAATGTGTGCCATAGCCCTTTCTGTGATCTCTACTAGCATGGCAAATACAGTTTCTTGTAATGAATAGCAAAGATCCGCAGGCGTAATAACGTCGTCTTCCGGGTTATAAGGGACCCCGATGGGTCTGAAACGTTCATTCATCGTGTATCCTTCGACGGACGTCAAAATGCCGGATAAACTGACATCCATTCCCTTCGTCGCGTAAGGCAGCGGGACAAGTCGTTTACCCCTGTCCGCGTCCATCAGAATCAACTCGCTTGAAGAAAGCACGAAATCTGACTTTTTGGCCTCTTGCTCGATATTGTATCCCGGACTCGGGTCGTTGCTAAGGTTGATGACCCTTGCGAACCGGTCAAGACAATTTCCTACAGCTATATCGAGGGTTTCGCCAAATATTCTGTAGCATTGTCTCGAGTAAGCTATCACTTGTGTGTTTCCCCCTGAGACGTATAGCACCACGGGGTTCTGAGCACCAGTGATCTCACGCCCCATTTCAATATCTGCAGGTATTTATCAGATAGCGGTGCGTGTCGAGGAAGAAACGCTTCTCACGTCCCACACAATGATTCACGCCCACCAGAGGTTTATTGAACATAATGGCCAGTGTTCGGGCAACGAGGGCGACAGATTGCAAGGGTGCACCCATACCAGGACCTTGGTTACAGGTGATTACCGGAGTGATATATCTCGAAGGGAGTACTGGGCGTGCCTTTAGTGTAGCAGATGCAATCCAGATCATGCATGGAAATGCCAGCCTGCGAAACAGCATCCTTTATCACTTTGTTTGCCCATTCGCGGTGATGCTGGGCTGTATCACGCGGTAAGAAACCTTCACCAGGGTGGAGTTATATATGTATGTCGGATAGTTGGCCAATACAGTAGCGGATCCGTCCTCGTTGTGCTTTATGACGCCTGCACCTAACTTGTTGGCCGAGCCCTCGAGACCAAGGGCTAGCAAAGGCTTCTCTGTCCACAGTCAGCCACGGTAGGACTGGTAACCAAACACAATCGCCTCAACTTGGAGATGCTAATCGGGGATTCCGACAATCCCTCAGTAGGGCCATGTTCGAGATATAATAATCTGATGAAGGAGGGCCCAAACAATCAAGGTCAGACTGTTCATGAATAGTTGATCGAGGTGGAGAAATCTGGAGGCATTCTATGATCGTCCTTGTCGATTAGTGGTCAAATCATCACGTTGTGGCTTGCTCAAACCGTGAAGCCGGAGGTTCGAATCCTCCCTGGGACATCTCTTTTGTTTCTTTTTCCTTTTTTTTTCGTCAGTAGTCTGGACATATTCAGCACTCGATTTCTACTTCGAAACACACACGGACACAGGGTAATTTCGAGCTAAGTATGCGTATAATAGATGACGATGGAGTGCGATTCGTAGATGTGTATGCATGGACGTTTTGTAGCTAGATTCAAGTTTGGAATGCAATGAGTGGCGAGGAGATAGACACAGCAATAGTCAAGAAATAAAATCAAACCGATCGTTAAAAAGCACTAAACAGTGCCACCCGCGTCTGTGACGGCTACGAGCACATATCGGGCATACTACACACCCTCCGCCCTTTTCACCACATCGGACACCTTGGACTCGTCCTTCGCTGGCTCCTCATCACTCCCATTCGATTCCTGCGCGCACCGTTCGCATGTGCATGCAAACCTCCAGCCTCGAACGAGCTCGATACGCCTCCTTCGGCGTGCCTCATCGACGCTCTCACCTTCCTTCTGGGTTACGTCGACGTAGGCTACCGTAAGCTCATCCCCGGCTTTCAAAGGGCGGTTGGCGATGAGATGCAACTCGGCAGTACCCTTGTCGAACGATGGACGCGCGGAAGGGATGCACTGAATGATTGAGCTGCACGGAGATAAGTCAAGAACACATGAACACGCAGGGATATCACAGAAAACATACGTAAGACGACACAGCATAGAACCCAGCACCAACTTGTTTCTGAGGTCCCCAACGGGTGTTCGCGATTTTTCGACGTCCTCCGGACGTTCGGCGGGTTCAGGCTATCGATGCAACAATAAAGGAAAAGATGCACCATCAACACGTGCCACGATACCAGAGGCGAACACGCACCTTGTCGTCCCTCCCTTCTCCGAAATACACTCCAAACGCGTTATAACTCATTCCGCCAAGATAGGTTGCATGCCTCTCTTCCGTGACAAACTGCTCAAGCCCAGGGTAATGCATGTTGTAGTACCTCCCTCAGTATCTTCGTTTCCTCCTCCGGCGGGGTCAAGTCCAAGTAGCGGAGTCCGTTCGAGGTGGTCATACAACGTGTAGTCTCCGCCGTCTGTCAGAACGGGTTCCGCCCCCTTCGCACTACCAGGGATCATCTTGGCAGTCTCTGCCGAGACTTGCCGTGCAATGAATCGAGCAACGAGTTGTGGGGCAGCTTTTTCACGCTTTTTCAGGTAGTCAGCAAACGCTTGTTGTGCTTCGTCTCGGGCTGCCCTAGCGGCAGGCAAAATCGTGGGAGCGAGAGGAGCAGGTAAAGGGGAATCAAGGGAGAAAAGAAGGCTTTGAGAATGGGTTTTGGCTTTGTCTAGACATTCTGTGGAGCAGTAGGCAGAGTCGAGGCGGTCAGACTCAGGACGGACGACACTGGAAGGGATCAAGACTGCGTAAGCAGTGGTTGCAGTACGTTCCTTTCCCCTTGTAGGTCCGAATCCAGAGCAGTGACAATGGCTTCTTCCTACACCCACGTGAGCATGTCTGCCTTAAAGTGGAAGAAGCGACTTACCTTGTATATAAGTTCACCGGCCTCAAAATCTTTCGTACAGACAAGAGTTTTCTTTCTCGTGGAAGTATTTGGTTGACCCTTCACGGGAACTTCGATCGTCTTAACAGCCACGTTCATCACTTTCGGTGGGAAGCAATCATAGTAACCTATGATACCGCAGTTCTCAGCTCAAGCTCACCCGCAAGGTCCTCATAGTCGGACAATGCGCACCTTCGACGCGTTCCTTGACCTGCGGGCAGCAACAGAAAATAGGGAGTTCATGGCAGCACATAGTCAAGGACCGAAAAGAGAAAGCATTCACATTAGATCATCATACCAGCAGATGAAGAGGAAAGCAAGAACAGATTAGATTCCAATGAGAGACGTGACACGTGAGCGTCTGGGTGGTCGGATAGCGTGGTACATGAAAGCATGACGACTACACAGCATACAGCGTGCGTGCATGTGTTAATGACTGTGGGTTACGGTGACTCATAGTCATAGGGCAGGGGTTTGACTGCCGGGATCAGTGACCTTATCCCACTCCTGCGAAGATGCCTCCGACGGAGGCCGAGTGGCACCCAGCTCGTCGTCGTCGTCCGATAACTGTGCATCACCCTTGCCTGGAGGCGAAGAAGGTGAACTTACATCCATGTTAGTCAGTTGCATGACAATCTAGGTCAGGTTCATCAGTACACGTTGCAGGATAAACCCCGACAGAAATAATGCTAAAACGAACCTGGAATACCGGCGGCGGGACGGTCCTTTCGTAGATCACAATCAGCTCTACGGGTGACGGATAGACACGGAGTGCACGGTAGAAGCACAACGCAGCCGGGAGGTTGAATGTAGGACCTGGGTTCGCCACACAGTTAATCTCCGTTCTTGCGATTGTGCGAACACCTTAAACAAACCTTTTGCACAGAGCTGTTCACCCATACCGACCTGCGCCATGAAGTACTTTTCCTTTTCCTCAGGAGTTGTCGGGACTTCTTCTTGCTTCACTGTTTCCAATGCATGCTTCAGTTCGTTCACGTCAACTCCATTGGAACTCGCAGACGCCTCCGACGATGCCTGGCTCTTTGCAACGCGCTTTTTATCCTTCCCTGCAGATAGTTCAATACGTCTGGATAACACGCACAAACGCCAAGGAATGAGAAGGACACGTACGAAGCTGCTTGCGGAAATTGGCATCCGTTCTCCGCTTGTAGTCAAAGTAGACCGCATATGCAACCAGCCCGCCAACGGCGATGCCGGCGACAGTGAGCATCGTCGTCGTCTTCGTCATGTCTTTTTTTTCTGGGTTGGTTGTGCTATTAGAGACGGAACGCCGCGAGTTGGTCGCGAGAGTACAAAGCTGCCACTGAAATTTGGGCCAACATCAGCAACTTACGTAATGGATGGTTCCACCCGCTCGCGTCTAGAACCGATGTCAACCGAAGGAAGACAAGTGCTTATTGACAGTAACAGGGTAATAATATGTAGTAAGTACAGTGCGGCATCGTCAAAACCAGTAAGGTATACACAGCGAGCCCACGTCCTAGAAGCTCCAGCTAGAGCATGCGACATTTCGCAGTGCCACACTTTACATCAGGGGGAAGTCACATACACAGCGATCTCCCCCGATACGACAAGCGACTCCATGTCGCTTGTCAATCCACCCGAGTCCTCGGGGAGCCTGGATGTTCAAAGTGCCAATGCTATCCGCATCGGGACTCCTCTGAAGGAGAGTGTGGATTGCGTTGGCAGCGCGAGTGCGTCGACGCTGACGAACCCAGCACGAAGGCCGGACAATTGGTTTTGCTTTTTGCCTCCGGCTGCAGGCGCGGTAGCAGGCTAGCGTGACAGATGAGCATGCGTGTTAGATAAACTCTGATAGGGGAACTAACGATCATACTCGCGTGCAAGGACACGCGCCCAATCAAGGTAATTTGTGAAGAATGGATGTTTCTTGATTTCGTTCCATCCGGGTCTCTTGGCGGGGTTGGGATGAAGGATCTAACACAGCTTCGTCAGGTTGAAGACGCTAATATGTGCGGCGTACACACCTTTTTAAGGAGATCCTTGGCCAAGTGGTCGTAAACCCTGTCCATTACCGACGCTTGCCTCGGATCTGGTTGTCCATGCTCGAAGAGACTCCTTTCGACATCGTCGTCATCCCCGAGGTCTAAGCCAGGCACGTATTCATACCAGGGCTAGATTGGATCGTCAGCAAGCCCAGGAGTAATGCGAACCGCTGTACTCACAGAGCCGCTTGGCATGAAGAGATCTAAAATGATTAAGCCGAACGCGTAGATATCGGCCTTGTAATTGTGCGTGCTGTCCCCGACTGAACTGCTCAGGGGCCAAATACCCATCAGTGCCTGCCTTGCCACTCATAGTCTTCCCATTCCACTCGTCCTCAGGTAACGTCCGGAGAGAAGGTAGTTGCGTGGCCGAAGTCGCAGACAGTGACATGACCACTTGGGAGTAACCAAGATATTTTCAAGCTTCAAATCGTTGTGCATGATGCGTATATCGTGCAGCTTTTCAAGACCGAGTGCCTGAAAATCGACAGATGCGTCTTTCAATCGCCAAGGAGCTTAAGCTCACATACCATTTCTGCAGCGATGAGGCGGATTTGCCAGAGTTGCAAGCTACAAGCCTTGTTCGAAGCCCTTTGGCGAAGGTTTTCAGGGTAGTACCTCTGTCAGAAACGGTGCCATCGTCAGGGCTTGAAATGGGAAATTGGTTCGAGACGACATACCATGATGAAGTAGATATTCTTGTCGTCAGAGAAACAGTCGATAAGAGGAGTTAAGAATGGGTGGCACTCGTACGTCGCCGCGAGCCAAGCATCAAATTCGTTGTGAACGCAATTCCCAGCGTACACTGCTTTCTCATCTAAATATTTCTTCCCCTTCGCGGTAGATATCTGTGCTAGGTCCTTGTCTGATACGAAAGTGCTGAAGAACGCTTGGCCGATTAATAACTTTAGCGGCGACGTCCATCGCAGGCCCATCGTCTCGGGTGCCTTCGCCGAACCACACGGTGCCATTCGCTCCGCTCCCAACGGGGCGAGTGAACTTGTACCTATACATGCCAGCCTTCATGCGGACGACGTTCGTCTGAACCATGTACTTTTCAAAGCGAGCTTTGCCAGCGTCAGAGGATGCACCATCCTGCGTTTGTACGACCTCCGGCTCGAAACCAGTTGAATGGACAGCAGCTGCAGAAGCAAGGTATTCGGTAGGTACTAGTTCTGCATTAAGCAGGTTGGGACGGCAAGGCAGGGTGGGTTGCAGAATAGACGTAGGGTACGCGTGCCATTTCGGCTGTGCCGACGTCATCTTCCGGGTAACCGAGACCAGGAGGATAGCGGGGGACCTTCTTGGGAGGCGCACCAAGGTCAGGGCAAGGGAGATTGGGAGTGCTGATCTCCGATGTTCCTGCGGTTTTTTTACTGCTCCAAGCAAGCGACGGCATGCCAACGGCAGGGCCAATCGCTTGATGAGCTTCGCATGTGCCACCA